TGAGCTCATGTTGGGCTCAGTTAATACTGTTTCTTCCCCTTGTCCCTTCAGGCCTAGGGGTGATAATGGCTTCCCACTGTTGCTAGTCCCTGTATATTCAACATCTCTCAATTGCTTCCTTTACCCTTCCCAGATCTCTGTAAAGAGTCCCTTCATTAAATTTCCTTCAAATCTAGCTCAATATGCTTTCTTGTTTCTGCTGGTACCTGACTGATACATAACTCATATCTCTCCCTGGAGCAGCTGCTTTCTGGGCATCTCCACAGATGCCTCAGACTCACCAAGGCCAGAACAGAATTCATTTCCCCCGCAAATTGCTTTTCCTGCTGATTTTCCCATCTTGCTTGTGTGCACATCAACCAAGTCAGTTGTCCAATTTAGAAACCTGGAATTCATCCTAGGCTCCTCCCTTACCCATTAAGTCCCATCAGTGCTACTCCCTTAACATATCTTGACTCTGTCCCTCCCTCTCTGCTTCCCAGCCGGTGCCCTGGTTAAAGCTCACATTATTGATGGATTTTACTCTTGCAGCAGCCCGACTGGGCTTCTTGCCTCCAGTCTTGCCCCTTCTAAACCCTCTTTACATTGCAGGCCCCAGTGATCAGTGTAAAAAGCAACCTGTGAGTTTGTGTCCCCTGTTTAAAACCTTTCTGTGACTCCTCAGTACCTACAGGATAAAGTCCTTGTCCTTCAGCAAGGCACACAAGGCCCTTCTTGGTCTGATACTCCTTGCTCGCTCATAATTCTGAACTTCAAGTAGCTCCTGCAGATTCTGTCCCTTTGCATGGCTGCTTTGGTTGGCTCGTGCTCCCCTTCCCCTCCTACAATTTTGGAGAACTTCTATTCATCCTTCAAAACCCCTCTTGTATGTCATGCCCTCCAAGAGCTTTTCCAGAACCCTCCCACACAGGAGGAGTCCTCCCTGATCCTTGCTGCCTGAATCTTGGGCAAGCGTCTACTGTGGTATTTCATTTCTTGTCCTCCCAGTGGAGTAGGAGGGCAGGGACTACGTTAATCCACCTGTTCATTTCAAGACCTAACAAGGTGAGTTATTCTTAAAGTGCATTGAATGAATAATCAGAAATTGGCAAACCTATTTCACCAGGGTCAAGATACACACAACCAGTTTGATGGACAGAGCCTAGGGGACTAAACCTCTGCTGAAGGTCATCAAGTCACCCCACCCTGGTGCTCAGTACCAGGCCTGGTTTCACACCAGAGCACAAACATATGCAGAGCGATAGAATCCACCCTGTGGAGGCCTTTTCCCAGAGACTTGACAGTGGAAGGCAGGGACTCAGGCATAATGCAAGAGGGTAGGATTTAGAGGAAAAATGGAGTTTAGTGTCCGGAAGAAAGAGCAGAGAGGCTGTCACAGGCTCCCTGGCTCAGACCCAAGCAGGCGGAGGGGAGGACTCATTCATCCAGGGCCAGCCCAAGAGCAGGACTGCCGAGCAGGCTGGCCCAGCCCAGGCCCAGCCTCAAGGCTGGGAGGGGATTTCCTCGGGCTCCCTCCTCCTGGGCTGGGCGGGTTGGGAACCTGTCTGAACAATTTTAGTTCGTGGAGCAACAGAGAGCGCCTGGTGGGGTGGGAGCTTCAGGGTAGCAGGCAGCACCTTGGCCCGGGACGCCTTGAACGCAGGGACCAGCCTGTGCTGCCTGGGACGCCCCTGTCTTGGCCTCCTGAGGTAAGATGTGGGAGCTGGGAGTGGGTGGAGGGAGTCCCAGTGTCAGGAGAAGGGGGCGGTGACAGGAAATGCCTGGACACAGAAGCCTGAGGCCCGGGGCTGATGTGGGAAGGAGGCGGGTAGTGTGGGGTGCTGCTCCCTTGATAACCTTCCTTCCGGAGGAACCTCCCGGAGTGGCCACTTAAGATCCTGCAATTTTCATTTTAAAAGTTGGCAGCATGTTAGCCCAGGAGTCAGGGCACTGCTTGCCACAGGGAAATAGTGGGGACCAGGTAATTTCATTCCCCTTACCTGCCCTGTTCAGTTGCTGGCTTTCCCTCCCTCCATCACATTCTCCACAACAGCCCCCACCCTCAACCCACCCCAATTTTTTCTACCTCCAACTGAGCCGTTCCTAGCCCTCCTGCTTTGTGACCTCTGCCCCTACCCTGGGTACTGCCCTGGGTGCTAGAGATCACAGCTGGGAGGAGTCCCAGCTCCTTCCTGTGAGGCAAGGCGGCTCCCCCAAGCTTATTTGTTTCCTCCTTCCTGGTATGGGTGTCTGAGCAATTTCAGTCTTTCCATCCTTCATTATTATTCATTTGTTTATTCATCACTGTTTGAGCAGGTACCTGGATTCTCTGGGGTGGAGGGGAGAGGGACGGATGCACAATTTCTGCCTTCCTTGGGAATTAGAAAACTGAATTTATTCCACAAACATTTGATGATCATCTACAAACTGGCAGGTAGCATAGCATAGTGGAAAATTATCTTGGAGTCACAAAGAGATTTGGATTCATATCCCACCTCTCCTGTTAACTTTCTGAGCGTTGGTTTCCTCATCTGTGAAATGGCATTTTTACAAAGATGACCTGAGACAATGCATGTCAAGCTCCAAGCCATTGCCAGGCACAAAGTGGGGCCTCAATATACATCTGTGCTCTTAGACCCCCTTCCTGCCACACCCCTCCCTAACCCCTGGCCTGGAAAGCACTTAGGCTAGCAGACTTGTCAACAGAACTGGGCAGTGATGGTGGAGGTGCCGAAGGGAGAGGGAGGTCACGGAGGGTTGGGGTGGGGTTGAATAGGGCAGGAACCAGTTACTGGCTTGAGGAAAAACACTGGACCATGGCAGGGTCCAGTCTCTCTTGCTGTGTTTCGGAATTTACACACTCTCACTGAGCAAGTGATGGGAACTACCAATTCCTAAGACCAACGTTGCCTGGCCTCAGGCTAAGGGCTTTTAAATGTATTATGTTTTTTTTTTTTTTTTTTGACTGGTAAGGGGATCGCAACCCTCGGCACAGTGTGGTCTTGCACCACGCTCAGCCAGCGAGTGTACCAGCCATCATGTCTGTTGGTTCCCATTTGTATAACCAGCACCTTCTATGTCTCTGATATAGAAACCTTTGATGAATCCTCTGTGAGTAAATGAATCCCACTAACATTTATTAATGCATCCCATAGGCTGGGTAACAGGGATTCACAGATGAATGAAACACAAGTTCTATCTTCAGGATGCTCACAGCCTTGTGGAGGAGACAGTTAAAATGCAAAGAAGACAATGTTACCGTAGATATGAGCAGAGGTTGCTGAGGGAACTAAGAGGGGCATTTAATTCAACCATGTTTGCTTTGTTCTCCACCATATCCTCAGTGCCTAGCACAAAGCCAGGCACTCAGTAGGTGCTCGATAAGGCATTGCAGGGGAGGTAGAAAGGACAGAGTTTTGAAGGGCTGTTAAGACTTCCCCAGGAGAACAAATTGGGGAAGGAAGATGCTCCAGCAGAGGGAGGAATTCATGAAAAGGCCTAATGAAGAGTGGGAGTGGGACCAGCTAGGGCTCAGTATGACTGGAGTGTAGGGTATATATGAAGGGTTTTATCAATGGGAGAGATGCCACCTTTGCATTTCAGAAGTGTGGCTGATGCATGGTGGTCTAGGAGGTGACACTAACGTTTTCAGGCCTGGTGAAGTCCTCACCTATCTGAGGAAATGAGCCTTCCTTTTTGGGTCTTCATGATGGTTCGTTCATGAAGGGCCTCTTGAGTCATCCTGTGTCCTGATCTACTGGTACTTTATCCTCAGCTGTACACTGGGTCACAGCTAGTCTGTTCCTCCTAATAAAAGTGCTGAGATTTATGAATAATTTAAATTTGCATGATTTGGAGCAAATTCAAGGATATTCTGCTTGCTAACTTGCAATCTCTTGTGCTTTCTTATGTAAGAGAGCTAGAGATGGACTTGTAGATGGGGTGCCAGGAATTATGTCTAGCTCTGAATGTGCCCAGGGAGGATGTGTCAACTATGCCAGTGGTCCTGGAACTGGGGGTACGATGGGCATGGATAACTTTAAAGGAATCTGTTTCCAGATCCTCAACTTCCGTAGGCACTCTTTCCTAAAAATAATCTGCTTGTCTGGATTCTAAATTCTCCTTTTCAACTCTGCTTTCATTGTTTCCCTTCTTTGCCTTTACGAAATAAAGTCACACCTCCATCCATCCTGAATCTTTCTATGGTGCGTTGTCTAAAAGGGAAATTGGAGAATTCTCTGTTCTTCAGAGAGAGCAAGCAAAGAGAGATTAGATAAGATAAACTGAAGGGTGTGTGGCTTACTGTACAGACCATAATATTTGTTTTATTTAAAAATATTTTTTAAGGCTAATTATGTGCCAGACACTGTTCTAAGGGTTTAACAGATAATAACTAATTCAATATGTACACCAAGTTCATAAAGTAGATGCTATTCTTCCTTTTAAAGATGAGGTTCCTAAGGCACCAAAAAAATTAATAAGTTCTTCAAGGTCACATAACTATGAAGTGGTGAAATCAGGGTTTGAACTCAGACACCTTTAAATTTCTGTAGAATTTGTCCTCTTAACCATTATGCTACTCTATTTTAAACTTAACTGCTTTAACTCTTTTTCTATGTATTGTAAAATTAGAATTGAGACATGAGCTAGTTGTCATGGGGATGCAAATGAACACATTTATAGAACTTTTAAAAAATAAAGGTGATTTTCCCATGGACAGAAAATTGGTCTGATTTGGCTGATTAGTTTGACAGTGAGGACTGGCTTTGCCAGTTGGATTATTTGGTAGACATTTTCCATAAACTGAACAAGCTAAATCTGTAGCTCCAAGGCTTGTATGAAAATATGTTTAAAGCATATCTCTAACAAAGACTGTGCCAGAAAATTTGGTCCTTGGACCAATTTTTAACTTGTGAAAAATAATTTCAGTTATTAATTTAAAAAGCTGTGAGAGGGGAGATAGCTTCTTCAAAAATTCTTATGGGGATTCATGAACAAAAAAATGTAAAGACTTCTGGTGCATGGCACACATCAACATCACCAGCCATGTGCATCTTGGTGGGGATGAGGTTCTTCATCAGGTGAGGTGAAGTGGCTTGTGCACAGGTAAGCAGGGGCAGAATTAGAGCAAGAACCAGGGTTTTCTGACACCTGTAATGTCAGTGCTCTTTCCATTACTCCACACTTCTTCCTTCCTTCCTTCCTTCCTTCCTTCCTTCCTTCCTTCCTTCCTTCCTTCCTTCCTTCCTTCCTTCCTTCCTTCCTTCCTTCCTTCCTTCTTCATTCATTTCATGATTTATTCATTCAGCAAACACTTACTGAATCCCTGTTCTGTGCTAGACACTATTGTAGATGCTGAGATACAGAGGGAATACAAAATAAACATTTCCTACTTTTCTGGAGCTTATATTTTAGTAGAAGAGGCAGACAATTAAATCAACTATGTATTTTTAGACAGTGATAAATGCTGGAAGCAAGTAAGCAGGGAAATGTGATAGGGTATATGGTGGTGGAGGAGGAGCAGTCAGGGAGCTGCCGTTTGTTATGGAGGAGCCAGCCCTGTGTGTGCGTGTTGAAGTTTTGGGGTGGGAGGGGGAGGGGGGCATAAAGAGCTTAGGTAGAAGGAACAGCAAATGCACAGATGAGGCAGGGAAGAATTTGGTGTGTTCTAGGAACAGAAAGAAGTCCCTGTGGCTACAGCACAGAGATGTTGGGGGAGAGTGATAGAAACTAACGTCCATAAAGAAGGAAGGAGCTAAGTCATGCAGCACTTTATCAGCTACAGTAAGGATCCTGTATTTATCCTAAAGACAATGGGAAACCATTGAAGGATTTTAAGTAGAGAGCTGATATACTCTGATTTATGTGTTGTTTTTAGGTTTTTTGGGGGGAGCAATGGAAACAGAGGTGGAGGGTAATTTGGGAAGCTATTTCAGATGAGACATCTGCAGTCTACTCTGTGGAGGGGTATAAAGACGAGTAATATTAGTGGGAAGGCAGGCTGGTATGAGATGTCATTGTCATCTCGTTCTGATGAGGTGTGTTGGCAGCTATTGCTGTATAACAAATTCAAAATTTAGTGACTTAAAACAGCCACCATTTTATCTGTCATGATTCTGTGGGTCAGAAATTTGGGCAGAGTTCTGCTGAGCAGTTCTGCTCTATGGGGTGTCAACTGGGGTCATCCATTTGGCTGTATTCAACTGTAGATGAGCTAGGCCGGAAGGTCCAGGGTTTCTTTTGTAGGTATGGCCCTTGGTGCTCTTCTACACAGCTTCTCTCTCCATGTGGGTAGCTTGGGCTTCCTCACAGCATGGTGGCCTCAGGGTAGTGAAACTTATTCTATGGTGTCGGGCTTCAAGAAGAGAGCATTCCAAAAGGAGCAAAAGTGGGGACTGTGTATTTCTGAAGTCCTAGCCTTGGAAAGTACCCTGCACCACTTCTGCCATGTAGTATTGGTCAAAACCAGTCACAGGGCTGCCCCAGATTTAAGAAGAAGAGAAACAAACCTCATTGCTCAGTGAGAGGAATGGCAAATAATATGTTCTATCTTTAGCCTACCACACTAGGCATCTGGAAACTGAATAGCCATAACCACCCTGACCCACTTTTTAATCTAAATCACGTGTACTATGTAGGAACAGTTTATAGGTCTTCATTCCCAACTGAAAAAGGAAGGCCTGGAAAACAGGAGGTGGTTTCTTTGTTTTCCCCTATGTATTTCCAGAGGCTAACACATACAAAGGATTCAGGAAACACTTGTCCAATGAATACACACATTGCCTAAGCATTCATTGGTTATCAAAACACAGTGTACAAAAGAATCCTCTGAGGAGCTATTAAAAAATGCATGCAGATTCCTGGGCAAGACCCATGCCCAGACCCTCTGAATCCAGATTTCTAGGGCAGGAGATTTTAGTCTTGCCTGCACATTAAAAAATACTAGTGGCCTGGTCCTAGCCCTAGAGACCCTGATCCAATGATCTGTGGTGAGCTCAGACAGACAGAATGATCATGTGATTCTGATGGGAGGCTAGGAATAAGAACCACTGCTTTAGGATTAGAACCAGCCATCTTTACCTAACCTCCCCAGATGATTCTAATGCAGGTGGTCCATGACACGGTGACCAAACATCCTTGGTTTGCCCAAGACTGTCCTGATTTTAGCACCAAAAGTCCCACATCCCAAGAAACCCCTAGTCCTGTGCAAACTGGGACAATTGGTCACTATCAATGGACCACTATTTAAGAAACTTTGCAGATGAGGCAATGAAAGCATTTAAAAAAAAAAAAAAACCTACAAATATCTAATGAAAGGAATGGTTTTTGTCTCCCTACTTAAGGGACTGCAATAGTATCATAATGCTATGTAACAGAGCCAACTCCTAGAGTTAAGGAGGAAATGGCTGAGATCGGGGTTTTCCTTTAGCCCTGTGCTCTTGAGTGCTAGGTCTGTTAACTCACTTAAATAGTGTCTGTCTTTGGGAATTCTTCTAGTCTGTATTCCTTACTAGACACAAGGCAGCTTTGAAAGCCCAATCACAATTAATAAGAATGATGTATCGAAGATAGCAGAAGATAAAGGATGAAATTCCTAACACGCCAGTGTGTATTATAATTACTGTTATTAATATTATAATAGGGTATGTAAGTACATGTAATATATTAAATATATCTGTGGGGAGGCAGTGTGGTACAGTGGGGAGGCCCAAGATCTGGTCTCAGGTAGCTGGGTTTATGCCTGGCTTTGCTGTCACTAGGTATGTAATCATGGGTGCCTCTTTTTGCCTTTAGTTGTTCATCTGTTAAACGGGAATAATAATGATGTCTTCTTTACAGGGCAATGGGATGATCCACCAAAACAATATAAATGAAAGTGGTTCTGTAGACTGGAAAGGGTGAAGTATTATGATTGTCTTTGAATGGGAGGGACACGAAGAGATTATTCTTCTGAGAGGCCCTGCACATGACCAAAGCTCTGGTCCCCTCCCCACGAACCACAGCCACAGTTGTGGATTCCAAGCAAGAAGCTTTTAACATGTAGTGGGCTATGGAGAGACCCCAGCCAGCACAGTGCCCCTACCTTAGTTGCCCTCACTATTGAGGGCAAGTGTGCTTTGCTCCAGGAAAAAGGAAAACTTTTGGAGACAGGGATTTGTGAAGGCATTTTTTGTTTTTAAATGTTTTGCCTATTTATTCCAAGTGTATCTTCAGAGATGGAGTGAAAAGAAAACAACCATAGCCACAAACCCATAATATTGAAAGCCAGTTCTTAATTTCTGTAGCTAAAAAAGTATCCTTTCAGGCTCTGACCACAGAGAGATTGCTGCAGGCCTCTGGAACTGAGCATAATGATGGTTTGCAGTGTGATGAAGGAAGCTGTTAATCTCTGTGGCCCAGAAGCCCAATCCACGGCCTCTCCAATTACCCAGGTTGCCTAGCAACACCACCCAAAGCCTCCCCACCAGGCCCAGCTGGGCGGCAATTGGGTGCACCCAGCATAGCCCGCTGCCCAGCCTCCTGGGCTCTTCAGCCACATCAAGGCTGGACTCAGCCCTGGCAGGGGCCCAGCTGGTACTGATGAATGGGTGGGGCCAGCTGTTTAAAAAAACAATTCAGATATTTAAAATCTACTTGTTTGAATACAGCTAGGACAGCAGCACAAGCTAATGACCAAAAGGGTCTTCTACCAAAGAGGAGTTGTCCTAAGGGTACTGGCCTTACCAGTGCTGTGCTGGGTGAGGCAAAGAAGGGAAGGTGAGCCTGACTTAGTCCTTTGGGTCCTCAGAGAGGCAAATCCTTTTCCTGTTCTGGACACTTGTCTCCGTCTGACTCCCTGTAGTGGCAACGGGGTCACTGAGGATTCCTAGCCCCATCCTCCCCTGGCAGTGGTGATCTGCCAGTTCTTCTACAGCTTCCATTTGAGAATACCAAATGGGTCTAGTCTGGGTCTGTCTGGGCAGCTGGAGGAAGAGGAGGGAGATGAGGGTGGAGGGAAGGATAGGATGAAAATAGCCAAAATGAAGGCACACCCTTGTGTAACACTGGTGCTTAGAAATCATAGGGTGGCGGGACACACAGGGGCTTTGGAACCAGGTGCCCCGGGCTCTTCTCCCAGCTCTCCCCTCACCAGCTGTGGACCCTGAGCAAGTTACTCTGGGAGCCTGAGTCTCCTTATCCATAAAATGGGAATATTATTACCCCGACTTACAAGATGGTTGCGAAAATTGATGAAGAGCGTGCTCTTGAAGTTTAGTGTGGAAGCTGGCACACACCACTGTGTCCCATCATGGTGGCTCTCATTATTTCATCTGATTCTCACAACAGTCCTGTAAGATCCTCAGGATAGAGGTGAGCTCTGTTTTACAGCTGAGGAAAGTGAGGCCCAGGGAAAGTAAATGTGGATGCTGGGAGTGGAACTCAGGTCTTCAAAGTGCCAACCTCAAGAACATGCTCTTCAAAGGCTGGTGATGAGCCCTTTTTTGGGTGGCCATTGCAACATGGTGGCTCCACAGGTCTCCTCTAACAACCCAATGAGAGTGAGAGGGTACTTTGAAAAGTTCATGAAAAGATTTGTAGTATCTTTTAATTCTATTTTCCACGAAAAAAATTTTTTTTCCTTTTTGTCTTTTTTTTCATGACCGGTAATGGGATCACAACCCTCAGTGTTGCGCCCGTACCGCGACCGGCAACGGGATCGCAACCGGCAATGGGATCGCAACCCTCGGTGTCGCGCCCGCACCTCGCTCAACCAGTGAGCAGACCGGTGTCTATATGGGATCCGAACACTCGGCCGGAGCGCCGCCCTCTACTGAGTGCGCCACTGGGCCGGCCCTCCACGAAATTTTTGAAGTACTCTCTTGTAGAATGGTATTGGGGGGGGTGAAAGGAAAAGGTTGGTAGGAGGCACTTTTCAACAGAAAGTGATATGAACACTTAGTCAAGGTGGTGTGGATGGAACTTCCCCCTCCTCCCCCTGTACCCCTCTCCACTAGTACTTCTTTAAATAAACTTTTTATATTGGAATAATTTTAGATTTACAGACAAGTCGCAAAGGTAGTGCAGGAGTTTTCATATACCCTTTACTCAGATACAAGTATTTTTGGAACACTTCTTGTGTGCGGAATAGTTCTGAGCACAGACTATAGCAGTGAAATGGTCTCTGTTCTCCATGAGAGGTTCACAAGGATGTGAGCTGGAGGGGACCGCAGTTTGTGGTTCTCAAACATGCCGCTGCCTCCGCTTCATCTGATATAAGAGGGTACTTCAAAAAGATCGTGGGGGTCATACCCGTGGCGCACTCGGGAGAGTGCAGCGCTTGGGAGCGCAGCAGCACTCTCGCCCCGGGTTCGGATCCTATATAAGGATGGCCAGTGCGCTCACTGGCTGAGCGCGGTGTGGGTAACACCACGCCAAGGGTTGCAGTCCCCTTACCGGTCACAAAAAAAAAAAAAAGATCATGGAAAACTAGAATTGAAACATACGACGAATCCTTCCATGAACTTTTTGAAGACCCTTTATACTTGTTACAGATGTGACAAATCTATTCAATTAGTCTCTTCAGGAGTGGGCCTGGGAATCTGTATGAAAACAAATGTCTCGGGATTCTGAGGCAGAGCCAGGTTGAGGGACTACCGGTCCGGTCCCGTGCAGACTGTTCACTGTGCAGGTGAGAGAGCTGTAGCTCAGAGCTGGGAAGGGACTTGCCCTAGGTCACACAGCCAGAAGTGGCAGAATCTAGACCAGAAAACAGAGCTCCTGATTCTGTGTTCCTTACACTGTGTCTCCCAAACACAGAACAAGAAACGAGTTTAACATGCAACAGGAAGACTCCAGATAGAGTTTAGGGGACTTTCTCGGCTATTCAGGTGTATCAGGTTCCTGGTTGCCAACGGAGAGAAGCTGATTCTGGCTGATTAGATGAGGAAATGAATTTTGTCAAGAACACATTGGGTAGGTTACAGAGTCACTGGAAGGCTGCAGAAACAAGGCTTTGGAAATAAGCAGAAACCAGGGGAGACCAGGCACCTAGAACTACACTAAAATCCCAATACAGAGCCAGGTAGGTGAGGGTGCCCACTTCCCCGTTGCTGCATGCTTGGCGATGAGGCCTTCGTCACAGTTACAGCTGGCATTGGAGACTCGATGCCAGGATGTTTGGACACTGGACACTACTGTCACCGCTGCAACCACTATGATGAATTTTCCCCATCCCCAGCTCCAGCCTCAAAAATCCTAAGCAAAAATCTGAAGCATCTGATTGGTCAAGCATAGATCACTGAACCTGAGTCCCAGCTGCCTAGGGGCTTGGAAATGTGAGTATTGGGCATTTTTTGCTTCTATAGTGGGAGGTGGTCCCTGCTACCCACCAAGATGAAATGGGGAATTCCCCAAGAAAATTGACAGATGACTATTACATAAGTGTTATCAAAAGAATACACTGGAAGTCCTTGACATTTGCAGATTCAAAACTTACAGTTCTGGTACTTTATTAGCTGTCTTCAAAGGCCCATTGTGAATGAGTGTGAGTGGAATGATTGCCTTTGCCTGAGCCAGCCACTTACCAGGTAGTGAACCAGGCCTAATGCTCTACATGGACATCTCACGTGACTGTTATTCTCTGCTAGTTGTGGCATTTATGTAACTTGCATGCAGTCATTAAATTCTTTGTTTCTTGTTTGGGGAGTAGGAAAGATTCGAAATAAATCACTTGATAATGCTAGTGATAGAAATGAAGAAGTGAAGAGGCCTGAGAAAGTGACATCCCCCCCAAAAATAGAAGTTTTGAGTAAATCGGTGTGGAATGTCAAGTTCAGTGGTATCTAGGATTTCTGAGATCAAGAGACCCACCATGTGCGTCACACAGATACAAGAAAAAGTGCTTTGGGAAGTTGTCTTAGTGTTATGTCAGCCATTGTAGAAACCGCTGTTCAAGGGAGATTACACTTCACTAAAAGATGAAAAGAGACACAGCTGACTAACCAAGTTTTCTTTTTCTTTCCTTCTTTGGGACATCAGGTGCAAAGTACTGAGTATAGTTAATCTTCCTCAAACAACTAATTTTACAAATAACTTTACTTCTCAATTTACAGAATTATTTAAGTACTGAAATGGAATCACTTAAAATGTTCTGGCTATAGTTTACAACAATTTTGGGAGACATTATGTAGTACAATAGTGAATTAGGGCATCTGAAAGGTGCTTGGGAAAATCCCTCAAGGGTCTCATATGTAAATCTGTATGGAAGTCTTTCTACAGTTTTTTTTAAAGGTAGACTACTATTGTGGGTATACGAACACAGTTTTGTCCTTTCAGATCTTTAGTCAACACACCGGCTTTGTGATTCATAATACAAACAATGCTAATACCAGGCAAGGTCAGGGATAGGCAAGTTCTTTCCATGTTTCCTTTTCTTAAGAATGCTTGCCAACCATGAAGGGAACAGTGCTGGTTTTTGGTGTGCTGGAGGAACATTTCCATTTTTAACCAGAAGGCTAGAAGCATTCTAACAATCTGCCCCAGTTGTTCCTTACCAGTTGGATGAGAACATTTCACAGCAGGGCCACCCAATTTTGATCCGCATGTGTGTGGCATTTCAACAAAGAGTTGGCAGCAACTTGCTGCAGATGAAAGGTAGGAGGTGAGGCATTACATCAAGCCAACATTAAAGAAAGCTCAAAAAACCTGCATGATCTTTGCTTAGTGAGTAAGAAAGCAGAGTCAGTGCAGGAAATATCCACTCAGTGACTGACACTGTGCTCAGGAGTGACCAAGTAAATAATTGGATAGCTGTGGATACTTTTATATCTCTGTAAGAGTATAATGTGTTGTAAACATGCCACTTGTTTTGTTTTGAGGCCTTCTAAAATTCTTGTAATCTGAAGTGTGCTTCCAGATGACATATCCCAACTTTGACCTATGGAGCTCATGGAGTTCATGTGTAGCCACACCCAAGCAAGGACAAAATTACTGACAGCATGACCTTAGATTAGACTCATTTTGTGAGGCCCTACAGAAGGAAACCTTGCACACAGGAGCAGAAGGGCTGGTGAACAGATTTCAGTGCAGTGTAAGGAAAATTACCTAATAATTAGAACTATCAGAAAATGTAACAACCTCACTGAAGTACGTTTAGGTTGTTTCTAATTTTTTGCTACTATAAATAGTTCTGCACTTGTTATATGGTTTTGTGTACTTGCTGAAATACATTTTAGGATAGATTTCTAGAAGTAGGATGGTTCTGTTGAAAGATATATACTTTTTATATTTTACAGATGCTGCCCAATTGCCTCCCAAAATGCTGCATCAATGTATACCTCATATACTATATCCATTTCCACACAGCCTCATAAGTATGAGATATGATCAGTCTTTTTCACTGTTTGCCAGTCTGATTGGTAATATTTCCAGGGTGGTTAACTGAGCTCAGAAATTCAGGTGTTGGGTAGAAGATAAACAGGAGTGGGAGGGACAGGGTGTGTCAGGGACAGTACGGAACACCTGTGAGCATCCAGGTGTTGGAGATCAGATGAAATGGGGAGAGGCCCCTGTCCTCAGGGAACAGGGCAAACAGACAGGGATAGAAGTCGGAGTGTGGTAGTGATTGACTGAGAAGGAAGGTGAAAACAAAATACTGCGAATCACTACCAATGTGCTCATCTATTGCTAGAGGCTAGAGTAGCCAGAACTACATGTCCAATCCCTTTACTGTGCAAGCCAAGGAAGAAAGAGACATGATGGGTCTTGGCTAAACCAAATGGGGAAGGTATCTTTGCAGCACAGGAAATGTGCTTAGGCACGAACATACCTAATATAGTGGGCTTGAGGTTGTTAAATTTCTGGAAATTTTGAAATCTGGACAAAAGAGAGCATTTAGGGTGAAATGTAATCTTTATTTTTCCAGCTCCTTTTATAAATGTAAAATTGTATTGTTAACAATGTGAAATTTTATTTGCTCATAAAATGACTATATGCGGTGTGTAAATTTACAATAGGGTTTATTCATACAATGTTAATTATCTTTATTAACTTGCTTTTATTTTTCTTCTATTATTTATTTATTTTTGTGGTTGGCTGGTATAGGGATCTGAACTCTTGACCTTGGTGTTATAACACTGTGTTCTAACCAAATGAGCTAACTGGCCAGCTCTTGAACTTACCTTTAAGGGCTTAATATTTGCATTTATAGGCTGCTGATCTTAAATCCACACTGCAGTTTTGCCAATCATTGGCAAAAACTAGAAATGATCATCAATATTCAGGGAAAATTAATAAAATAGGTATGTCTATGGGCTTAATGTCTGACCCTGGGGGATGGGTGGGTAGGAGGGTGGAAGATGCAGGGAAGGGAAGAAGCCTTTATTTTCAGAAAAGTTGCTTGGGAAGAGAAAAATAAAAGGAAAATTCTCTTTCTCACTAAATTTAGTGAATATAACCTATTGTAGTGTGGAAACTTGCCTAATGAGATTCATTTGAAAATAAATTGGATTTGATCTAATTCCCAATAACTTGCACGTGAAAATAAGCCCCAGGCTCAGCTCCATCCCTTCCATCCATCCATCTACATACCACCCATCCATCCCTAGCCAATAGTAACTGATAATTATGAAGTGTTTACTGTGTGCCAGATAGTGTTTTATATGTGTTATCTCAAATAATCTTCCAAGAAATGCTATGAGGTAAGTGCTATCATTATCCCTACTTTAAAATGAAATCTGAGGGTTTCCCAATAAGTTAAGCATAGAATTACCATATGACCCAGCAATTCCACTCATGGATATATACACCGAAGACTTGAAAACAGCTGTTTAAACAAAAACTTGTACAGGGATGTTCACAGCAGCTCATTCACAATAGTCAAAAGGTGGAAACTACCCAAATGTCCATCAACAGATAAATGGATTAACAATGTGGTATAACTAGACAATGCAATATTATCTAGCCATAAAATAGAAGGAAATTCTGACCCATGCTACAGGTTAACTTTGAAAACATTACACAAAGTGGAAGAAGCCAGACACAAAAAGACACATTGTATGATTCCATTTATATGAAATATCCAGAATAGGTAGATCGAGAGAGACAGAAAGCAGATCAGTGGCTGCCAGGGCTGGGGAGAGGGTGTGAATGCGGAGTGACTGCTTAATGGGTCTGGGGTTTTTCTTTGGGGTGATGAAAAAGTTTTGGAACTAAGTAGTAGTGATGGTTGCACCACATTGTAAATATTCTCAATGCCACTGAATTATACACTTTAAATAGTTAAAATGATAAATTTTGTGTTATGTGTATTTTACCATAATTAAAAATATATATATAAGTTGAGTCTCAGAATTTAAGTGACTTACCTGAGGTTACCCAACAGCTGATATGTGGTACAGCTATGTTTTAATCCCAGTCATTTGGCTCTATGGCTCGTGCTTTTTAAAACAATTATAGTGAAAACTTTATTTCGGGCCGTTTAGGAGGTTTAGACCATTTTGATCATCTTCAGCTGCCTTCTATTAACACACAGGAAAGGGCTTAGAAAGCAACGGTCGTGCCAGGTAGCCCAGGAAAGAGCCACAGCCTGAAGACTGTAGCATCACTTGTTTTTCCCTGGCATTCATGTCCCTCTCAGGTGGAGGGAGGACCCACGATGGCTGCTGCTCATGATTTGGAGATGGAGAATGTGAATCTGAATATGGAGAGAGAAATGAAAGAAGAGCTGGAGGAAGAGCAGAAAATGAGAGAGGATGGGGAAGGTAAAGATCTCCCCAAGAGTAGAAAGGTCCACAGGGTTGTCTCCAAATGGATGCTTCCTGAAAAGGTCCGAAGAACATACTTGGAGAGAGCTAACTGCCTCCCGCCCCCCGTGTTCATCATTTCCATCAGCCTGGCAGAGGTAAATGGTGGTGAGGGTGGCACTAGTGTCAGTTCTACCAGGGAACTGCGAACAAACTGGGGTTAGATCTAGATCTACATGAGAGACTGGAACATAGAAGAGGAGAGCCCGGCAGGGACAGGGACAGCACATACAGAACCTGCACCCCACCCCTCTCCACGGTTGCTTTTCCAGGCTTTTTCTATGCTCCCCATCAGTGAGGGCTGACTTTCATTTGCCAGACAAATCCCCTGCCCAGCAGTGACTGCAAGTTCAGTGGCTTTGTTTCATTAGCTGGTGGAGTCTTCAGAAACGAAACAATCTTGGGGTTGCAAATTGGGTTTATCTCAAGAACCAATTTAGATTGGTTGATGAGGTCTGTACGGGGCCGTATGCTTAGAGGAGTTATAGGCTACCTTCAAATTTCAGAAGAAAAAAAATGGAATCCTCTAATGATGTCAGCTTTGGGCAGCATGTAGTATGTTTTCGGACTCTGATCTAGTCAGCCCTTTTGTTTTCCAGAAAAGAGTACAAGGCTCAGAGAGGCAGGATGACTTGCCAAGGTTACATCTTAGTGACTGGGCCAAGAGTAGGCTGCTTCTGAACCCCATGACACCTGGCTTTTTCTTCCACCCTGTGATGTCTCATAAAGGAATTGACAAAACATGAGTACCTGTCAGGTGTGACTTCAGGAGCATTAGGATGTCCCTACTGTAATCCTCTTAATTCCCATTGATACATCAATTTACTTATCAGGGAATGTATTAGTCAGGATGCTTCAGAGAAACAGAATAAGGTGTGCGTGTGTGTGTGTGTGTGTGTGTGTGTGTGTGTGTGTGTGTGTGTCTATCGACAGAGAGAGATAGAGATTTTTAAAAAGAAATTGGCTCAAATGACTATGGAGGGGCCAGCCCGGTGGCGCACTGGAGAGTGCGCCGCTTGGGAGTGTGGAGGCGCTCCCGCCGAGGGTTCGGATCCCATGTGGAGACCGGTTCCCGCTCACTGGTTGAGCGTGGTGCGGGCGCAACACCGAGGGTTGCGATCCCGTTTCCGGTCAGTAAAAAAAAAAAAAAAAAAGGACTAATGGAGGCTTGGTGAGTCTAGAATTTGCAGGGGGAACTGGCAGGCTGGAGACACAGGGAAAAGTTGCAGTTGGAGTCCAAAGTTGTTCTACTGGCAGAATTCCCTTTGCCTAGGGCAGGGCAGCCTTTTTTATATTAAGGCCTTCAAGTGATTGGATGAGGTTTACCCATGTTATGGGGGGCTATCTGCTTTATATAAAATCTGCTGATTTAAATATTTTAAGTTCAGGTGACTCTTTTCCTTACTATACATTTTTTGGGGGGGTGGGGTGGCTGGCTGGTAAGGGGATCCAAATCCTTGACCTTGGTGTTACAACACTGCACTCTAACCAACTGAGGTAACTGGCCTACTCTTTAAATGTTACTCTCATCTAAAAATACTCTCACAGAAACATCTAGAATAATATTTGGTTTTTTGTTTTGTTTTGTTTTGTTTTGTTTTTGGTAGCTGGCTGGTACAAGGAACTGAACTCTTGACCTTGGTGTTATAAGACCATGCTAGAATAATACTTGAGCAAATACTTAGGCACTAAAGCCTAGCCAAGTGGACTCATTAAATCAACCATCTCAAGGACCAAGCCTCTTATGGCTCAGATAAAGATAAGGCTAATATATAAGCATTCTGGAGAGATGCTTTTGTTAAGGCTGTTTTGGTTGAAGGGACATAGTTCTAAATTTTCTCAAAGGGTTTTGTTGTGAGACTATCTGCAACTGGAAATCATCAGGATCTGAAGCAGAAGCTTCAGATCTGCATCTGGATTCATTCTGCTTCTCCCTCATGTTATCGTTCCATCCTGTGGATTTTCTGGGTTGCCCATGCTCCAAGCAGCTGTGTGTGGGGGAGAGTGGGGGGGAGGTGGGGAGGATTGGAGAAGAATGGGACATGGTCACATGGTACAAAACATGACTGCATGCCTATACAGTGCATGCTGTTGTGGAGAGGGCAGTTTTCCATAGAAGGGTCATGGGGTATGTTTTAGTCCGTTTTGTGTTGATATAACAGAGTTACCTGAGACTGGGTAATTTATAAAGAAGAGAGGTTTATTTGGCTTACGATTCTGGGACAGCTGCATCTGGCACAGGCCTCAGGCTGCTTCTACTCAGGGCAGAAAGTGGCAGGGAGCCGGTGGGTACAAGCAGATCACATGGCGACAGGAAGCAAGAGAGAGAGAGGAGGTGCCAGGGTCTCTTTAAGCAACGAGCTCTCGAGGGAACTAATAGAGCAAGAACTCACTCATTAATCCCCCCTTCCCCAGGGAGAGCATTAATCCATTCATGAGGGATCCGCCCCCATGACTCAATCAGTTTCCAACAGGGCCACATTGGAGATCAAATTTCCACATGAGTTTTGGAGAGGACAACACATCCAAACTCCATCAGGGTATGTGCTAAGAAATCTGCCTCTCATGGAAAGATCAATTTTTTAATTAAAAAATTTTTTAAAAATGAATTTTCATTTTGGAATTATTTTATCTTATTTATTTTAGGGGGGATCTTTTTTGTTCCGTCTTTATAGCAAAGTACATAATATGCGGTCATTTTAAAACTACTAACAGTAAAGGTAGGGCAGTAAGAAAGAAAGGGAGGAGTTGGGGGGAGCATTTTAAAGGGGGGGGAAAAAGCCTAAGTCTCTATTTATCCACTCACCCTGTTCCTGAGGCAGGATGGGGTAGGCACTCACTACCCCTAAGAGCAGCAAACAAGCGGATCTGTAATACAGTCCCCTGGCACAGGAGGGCAGCAGAAGGCCCAGAGACAAAAGGATAAAGTGAACTATGAACTCCAGATGCATTGCAATCATGCCTTTCCCAGCCTGTCTATTCCTTGTTTTGTCTGAAACCAAGAATGTTTTCCCCACTCCACTCTGAGAAAAGTGGAAAGGGCGAGTCCCGCTAGTCCTTCTCAGAAGTAGTCCTGTGCCCCAGACTCTACCTAGCCTCGCCTGAGCTGGCCCACACCCTAGACACTGGGATCTGTGACAGGCACACAGGAGACTCCAGGGCAGAGGAAAATATTTCCCTACAGGAAGCTACTTCCCCCTAGTACCCTTGGGTGCTAGCGCAAGGTTGCTAATCAAGGAACGTGCCCGAGGGCAGCCAGGGAAGTCATATACAAACCAACCTGGCTCAACCCCTCCTGCTTCCCAACTGCTGTGCAAGCCTCTAGGCCTGACCCAGTGGCCTAATGAGATACTGGCAATCCACCTGGGCATGGCAACAAGTGTCCAATTCCAAGCCCAGGAAGGGCCCATGAGCCTGAGCAGCCAAGATCAGGGGCAGGGACGATTAGGTTAGTTCTCAGGAAAGGTGAACTGGAGATTGCTCCCCTCTCCTCCTCTCCTGGCCTGTTCTACGGAGATTCCATCCTTTAATCTACTGCCTCTTCAAGGGTCTATCCTATCCACTCCAAATCAAAGGACCCCTGGGGTCACAACACTTGCATCCTTCTTAGACAGACTCCCGTCTCTCTGCTCAGACTGGTCTCAGGCTGCCTGAGAGTAAGAAACCTGGGCCAGCAGAAGTCCCATGAATGGAGGAGTGTGAGGCCAGGCCTTCCCATGGCACGACACTTGGATGTGTGTTTCCTGAACACTGGGTGCACCGACCATCCCTAAGTGGGCAGAGAGAAGCAAGCACTGCTGGGTGGCTCTGAAGCCAAGGGACTCCTGTGCACAAAGAACCAACACTGCTCCACTCTGCCCATCTGTGCCTCCTCCGTGAACAGCAAACAGTACCCAGATGGCAAATGTCATGGTTTCTGGTCTAATAATTGTACCCCTGACTTTCCAGTGGAATCAGAGATCCAGGGCCTCCTAAAAAACTAATACCATGATTTGTCCTACAGAAAGCTCAAGTTCAGATACACAATTGGCTAAATGCTGGGTTGCCACAGAAGAATAGAGACCCCCATCCCTTCCCTGCCCTAGACGCAGTATGTCACAGAACCCAGCAGGCACTGCTCAGTGTCCCAGCCAAGCCAGCAAGAACCAGTGATCACTGTACAAAGGGGCAGAGCAGCCCTGGAGCTGTTTCCAAGCTAGGAGTGGGCTACTCAGAGATACTGGAGCCTTGGTCCTAACACCCAGGTAGATGAGGAATCGGCAAAGTAAAGGCTCAGAGATGAGAAGAATCTGTCTTCCAAGGCAGTGGGATAGACAGCCACGGAACTAAATGGTTTGGCACCTGGGAGCTTTAAGTAAAGTTGAGAATATTGTCCACGGAAAGGCCGAGGCTCTCCCAGACAGGGATGGGCTTCACCTGAGCACACACAGACCCCTTCAAGGCCAGGGGCCCCTGTGCCCTCAGGATCCTAACCCAGGCCTGCCATCCACCCTTCACCTCAGAACTATACAAGGTCTGACTACAAAGATAATAAAGACTGATCTTGAAACACACACTCTGGAACCTATCCATCTGGGTGAGTACCGGCTTTCATAGAAGGCACCTTGGGGGCCTTTCCATGCTCCCAGCAGGCGGTTGCTGTCATTGGGAGCACCCTTCAGAGCCTGCGGTGCACTCTCCTCAATGTCTCAGGGGTGGCAAAGCTCTGTTGGGGATGAGGTTTTACTTTTTCGAAACAACCAAACAGATTTAGAGTCAAATCAAGCCCAGAAAAGGGGAGTCAGACTAGATGGTGCTGAGTCTGTGGGGGACGTTTGGTGTAACTAGATAGTAATGGAGTCAGACTTACCTGAATGGTTCAAACAGGCTCTGAGAGCAGTGGGAAAAGGTTCTCCAAATGTTTCAGACAGTGGCAGCCACAGGGAAGTAACGAAGGGCGTGGCCCACCCAGCACTCGGATGGCCAATGCCAAGGTGAAAATCTCTGGTTCTTCTGCAGTTAGGAACTGAGGCTTCGCCCTCTCTATGTAACTCCTCTGTCTTGCCTGGTCCCCCCCTTCCTCCACCCTCCCACCCAGAAGGTCAGGAAACTGTACTTCTTCCAGAGAAGATGTTTCCACCAAGAGGAAGCTCTCAGGAGAGCTGGAAATCTCCACCCCACATGTTCTCAACCTAAGACTCCAACTTAGGTACCCATGATTTAAATACTCTCCTTTTAAATACTTAAAAAAAAAATACTTCCTTTTCCGTCACCCCTTAATGCTCAGCTGCCACCATCCTCACCTGGCCATATTATAAATAAGTAAATCCTGTGGCTGTGTTGCTGCCAGTGAGAATCCCAGACGAAAGGTGCATGTTATCCTCATCTCACTGCAAATCCCCAAGTCTCGGTGAATAAAAGCTCCTGCTCCTACACAGGCAGAGCTCTCTTGCCACCCTGTGAGGGGCTGCCAGCTGCAGTACCAGAAGTCCTCGACCAAAGCCCAGCCTGCGAGGGGCCGCGCTGTAATCTGATCAGTTACGTCCCTGGGAGGCAGAAGGAACCAGTGCTTCCTCAGTCACCACAGCAGGCACAGTTCTACTCCATCCTTTTCTATTTCTACCAGGAAGTGATCCCATAAAGTCCCTGCCAGGGAAGGAGACAGAGGCAGCGCTGGCTTTGTGGAGAGGCTGAGAAGCAGGAGAGTCGGGAAGGAGTCACCAAGCTATCCAAGCAGCCGGGGCTGGGGAGCAGGGCAAGAAGAAAATGCAGAGGACTTTCTCTCCTCAGTGAGCCTCTTCCGTGAGTTTGATTTTTGAGTTGAGGTCTTGCCTAATTTCAACTCAAACAAGAGATGCATCATTAAGCTCCAGCATCTGACAGGGCAGGCAGTCAAGGGTCTCAAATCCCACTCCCATTGAACTCCGCAGGTGCGCAGAGCAATGGGACAGTAGCCACCCTCCTGCACTCCGTCTCCCACAGATGCCTGAGCCCGCCTTACCTCGAACACAATGGGCAATTTCCCCTTGGTGAAACTCCAGCTCCAGTCACAAAACACTCAAGTACAGGTCCTCCTGCAAAATACTTATGGCAAACAGCTTTACGGTTTTTGTACATTTACACAAAATAGATCCTTAATATATATATATGTATGTGTTTATAACTAGTTACACATTGGATTCAAAATTAGGCATCACCAGTAGTAGTTGGCATAGTTTGTCCTGTGAGCTCAGGGTCAAGTTCTGTTTCATTTTGTCGTTCCAAACTACAAAAAGAAAAAGGAAAAAAAAAAAAAAAAACCACTCCAAAACAAAGGCATTTTATCTTCATGGTGTTTTCTTAAACACAGTAATATCATAGGGAACATTATGTACAGATGAACAGGGCCTCCTGACCCCTCCTCTGTCTCTTGGAGTTAGGGGCTGGGGTCTGAAGGAGACAAGGGTCAATGCAGCCGGCTACTGGGCTCTGACTCCTGCCTCTTGTGTGAAGGGGTGTGGCCATTGAGATAGCCATTGGTCTGCCGTTTGGAGAGCCCTCCATTCAAGATGTCCCGATGTGCTGCATGATGAGGTTGATGGCCACTAGATTATTTGCACCTCTAGGAATGATCACAGCGTATTTCTTCGTTGGCAAGCAGAATTCCTCAAAGGCAGGCTTGATGAACGTAATGTACTGAGATAAAATCTGTTCCAGGTCCCTCCCTCTTTCACTGATGTCCCTTAACACTCTGAGAGAGAGCTGCGTGTCCGCATCTGTATCCACAAAAGGCTTCATCTGAAACAGTTCTCGTACCTTCTGGGAGTAGAAGGCCAGGATCCTTTCAAAGAGCACCATGTCTGTGGGATAGGCAGTAACCTCCTGCTTCCGGGAGTGGGAAACAAAGTCATACACGGGGATCTGGACTGTTTTCCCTTCGGTGATTTCTTTGAGTGTTTTGAAGATGAGTTCATTGTCAAAGGCATCCAGGTGATCAAAGCTGAACTGGCCCTTCAGGGCTTTGGCCTTCTGCTCTGAAGTGAGGACACAGTAGAAGCTACCCTGGCTCAGGATGACCACTTGCTTCTGGTGATAGTCCACCTCATTCTGTCCCAGAAGCTGCACAATCTTAGCACACATGGAAGAATTTACCGGTTTATTATAAAGGATACTTTATGAAGAGAGGCACAGGGCAAGGTATGGGAGAAGGGGCGTGGAGCTTCCATGCCCTCCCAGGATGAGTCAACCTCCAGCAACCTCCAGCAACCTCCACGTGTTTGCTATCCAGAAGCCCTTGGAATAATTTTAGATCTATAAAAAGTTGCAAAGGTAGTACAAAGAGTTCCCATATACCCCTCACCCAAATTCTCCCATTGTTAATATCTTACATCTCAATAGCAGGTTTGTCAAAACTAAGAAACTGACATTGGTCTTTTATATTACTATTAACTAAACTCAAGACTTTAGTAGGATTTTAACAGTTTTTCCATTAAGGTCCTCTTTCTATTCTGCTGGTACCCTCCAATGCAGGGCATCACACTGCATTTAATTGTTATGTCCCCCCAGCTCCTCTGATCTGTGACAGTTTCTCAGTCTTTGTGTTTCATGACTTTAATAGTCTGGAGGAGGACTGCCCAGGTATCCTGTAGAATGTCCCCAGTCTGGTTTTGTCTGATGTTTTTCTATGATTGGACTGGAGTTATGGGCTTGGGGAAGAACATCACAGCCGTGAAGTGCCAAAAAAAAAAAAGGAGAAAGAAAAAAAAAGAGGTGACATGCCTTTCTTATCACAGCACATCAGGGAGTAAAGGACATCACATGACATCACTGGGATGCTGATCTTCCTCACTTGGTTAAGGCAGTGTTAGCCAGGTTTCTCTACTGTAAAGTGGCTGTTTTCCCTTTCCCTATTCTTTGGACTCCAGCATTGACTTACTTTCGTATTAAGTTGTAAATGAAAGATCAAATGGTGGTGGTGGGAAGATGAGGGCTGTGGTTATTTAAGAGGCAGAGGATGGTAGAGGACATAGTGCTAGAAAGCAGGTGTCAAAGAGCAGGGAAAAGGGGATTCAGAAGAAGAGGCATGTGGCCACTGTGGGGGTGGTGGGAAATTTAATTCCTATCATATTCTGAGCCCATGCTATGGAGTGGCTCACTTAAGAGCTGAATCATTAGAAACAAAGTTACTGTCCATGGGCTTTAATAAGAACACTCTCTGGAGAAGATGTGATTAACATTATCCTCTACTCCCTGTCAGCTGGCAGTGTTTATTTACTATGCTGTATGGAAGCCTCAGAAACAGTGGATCACCTTGGACACTGGCATCTTGGAGAGTCCCTTTATCTACAGTCCAGAGAAGAGGGAGGAAGCCTGGAGGTTTATCTCATACATGCTGGTACATGCTGGGTAAGGATGACAGTCAAGTCACTGATGTCAGATGTGATTATAGGTAATTGTAACCTCTAACATTTGTTTGGTGCTTTATTATTGATAAGGCACTTTCATGTCCGTAGCAACATGACAGTTGCTCACAGCAACCCTATGAGGCAGATATTACTCCCACTGTTTTATGTCTGAGGCTTAAAAGATGTGGTTATTTGCTCCAATCACACAGCTAAGTTGCAGAGCTAGGACCTCAACCCACTAGTGCTCACTCTGAGGCCAGCGTTCTTTATATTGCATTATAATGCCTAATACTGGTATTTATATAGGAATATCACTGAAAAGAGACCAAATCATCACCAAACCAAAAGTATGTTCCCCTAGTTGTCTGATGTTAAATGTTTACTTTAGGTTATGAAATGGAGGAACTGAATCACCAGTCCCCTCCCCCACTGCCACATATTTAGAGAAAATTAATTCATAAACATATTGATGAGTGAGTAATACTGTTATCCCTCTGGAATAATGCAGGCAATAGGAGATGCAGTGCCTGTCTTTTAGTTTAGCTTGTAGTTTCCTAAATGCCAGAAGCCTTCCATGACCTCACTCACAGCCATGATCCATCATGCCCACTGCAGACAGTGAGCAGCTTGATGCTGGCCTCACCTCTGTGGCAGACCCCTGTGGTTTCAGGTAAGGCCAACCTTGTTTCTACGACCAACCCAGCCCTGGACTTGAAAGAACAACTTTTTTGGCCAGTGGCTAAATAGGCATCCATGGCAGGACACAGGGCTCAGAGGCTTGACAAGTCAGGGACAAAATCACCAATTGCCCATAGACACTTATATCTGTAGACACTTCTACACCTGGTTTTCCATTTAACACATATGTTCTGAGCAAACATGGCTCCTGCACACAAGTACTTTGAAATTATAAGGGGGGACAGTCAGCTAAACAGTAACACAAGGCAGTATAATATTATAGTATACAGTAGTTACTTAACCTCTTTGTGCCTCAGTTTCCTCATCTACAAGCATACTTCAAAAAGTTCATGGAAAAGTAGAATTAAAAGATAATAGGGGCTTCCAGTCAAATTGGCAGAATAGATGGTCCCCATTGTCACTCTCTCCCATAAATCAAACAATTTACAACTATGAAAAAGCAATGGCAGCTAAGCTGGGGCCGCTAGAGCTCAGGGGAAGATGAGAGACCTACAGAGTGCGTGAAGGTGGGAGAAGCCATGATGAGAGAAAGAAAAATCCACTCTGACCATTTTGAGTCCCGGCTGCTTCCAGGCTGGAGCTGCTGAGTGCACGGAGCAGGAGCTGGCAAAAGCTGCAGCTGTGCCCTTCGGATGAAGTTTCTTGGAGACTGCAGGGGAGAAGAGGGCCTTGGGGGCCCCCAGGCCAGCAAGACCACTAATAGGTTTCCCGTGGACCCACATAGGACCAAGGAGCCACAACAACTGAAAAAAAGGAGCCACTCAGAGGCCGGTGAGTCATCGCAAGTGACCGGTGCATGGCCTGTCCCATGGGAAATGTTTGCAGCACAGGCGGTGGGGGAGATGGGCCCACTGGGAGAACACAGGCATAGCAAGGACAGCTGATCTGTCTCCCAGTCAGCGTAGGATCACTCAGAGGAGACTGGTCAGGAATGTAGAATTGCATGGAGTGCAGTTTGATGAAAAGACTCAGGCCCAGACCAGTGTTTCTACACAACCCAGGTGCACTGGATTTCACTAGACCTGGAAGTACTTATAAAGTCAATCATTATAACCTGAACTGCACAAAAAGCCTTCCCTAGGGAACCAGCAACAAAGCAACAATTTAGCTCAACCACACAGCTCAAGTACAGGTCCCCACTGGAAATTCTCCCATTTTAGAAGTAAGCAAAGGACAACAAATTAGTTCTAGCCCAGAGTTTAAGTGGTAGGAACAGCAAATAATCCAACACAGAACTGAAAGAAAAAACAAAGTACCCACAACCAGAGACAAAGTTTAATATTAACTAGTAAAGGTCTCATTTCACCAAAGAACACCTATAACACCTAGAAGGACCTGAAGCCCCCTGGGCTACCAAGCCAGAAAGGGGGGAAGGCCGGGGGCCTCAGCCATGTCCCCTGACAACCACAACCAGTCCTGAGAGTGGGGGATGAGGGCTTCAGCCACACACCCCCAACACGTGCAACCACCCCAGCAACGAGCACCAAGCCGCTGCAGGAAGCAACCTAGGCTCTCCCAAGCCGGGGTGGTGGGGGCGTCAGGGGCCTTGGGCCTTGGCTATGACCCCCCAACACATGCAACCAGCCCAGTGATGACCACCAAGCCACAGCAAGAAGGGCCCTGGCTTCCTGGGCTCTCCCAGGCCGGGTTGGTGGGGGGGTGAAGGCTTTTGCCATACACCCCTGACATCTGCACCAAGCCTGGCAATGAACAAGCCACCGCTGGGAGCCCCCCAGTCTCCCCTGTGGGAATGAGGGGGGTGCCACAGGCCTCAATCCCACCCCTCCTCCTTCCTCCTTCCATCCCATTTCCTTCCCCTTTTCCCTCTCCCCCTCCCTCCCAACTGCTCCACAACATCCAAGAATGTAAAAAAAATAAATAAATAAAATAAAGTTAAAAAAAAAAATAAAAAAAGATAATTGGAATCTTTCCATGAACTTTTTGAAGTACCCTCATATAAAATGAGGTAATAATACCTACCTTATAAGCTTGTTGTGATTAAATGAGACAATGGTTATAATTTTCACAGTGCCTGACCCATAGTAAGGCACTCAAAAAGAATTTGCAAGGCTGTGTAGGACATGTCTTATATGGGGTTATGTAATTTAGAAATGCATTTGGATGCAAAAAAACTAACAGGGGCTTGCACAAACAGATGTTAATTTTATCTCATGGAAGAAGTCCAGAGGTAGGTGGTTCGTTCATCAGTTTAATGAAGCCAGGGGTCTTGGTCTTGTGCTGGCATCTCTATTATTGTTTGGCTGCTGTAACTCTGCATTCAGAGCAAAAAATGGGGAAGGGGTGGTACCAAGTACTGATATATCCATCCCTTTTGTCAAGACAGAGTTCTCAGAAGTCTCTGAACAGTGCTTTTACTTGCATCTCATTGGCCAGAACCATGTAACATGGCTACCTCTAGCCGAGAGAGATTGGCAAAGTCAACATTAGCTCTTCTGGCCTCACTAGAGGAGGGAGATAGGAGTAAAAGAAACAGATGCTGGACTAGCTACACTCATATAAACAGAAAGAGGGAAAGATCAGAGTGCAGGTGGAATCATGGATGACATACATTCAAGTTGGATCTTGAAGAGTGAATAAAATTTGGGTGAAAAAAATTAGTATTACTATTTTGGGTATATGCCAGGATCTTATCTTCATGCCACTTCTAGTCTTGTTGAGCAGCAGAAAGTGTGTGGGGTGTTTCTTTGGGGTTTTTGTAATATTGGTCACCTTGTCCCAAGGTGTTCTCAGAGGACAAGATGGCTTTCTTTTACCTTCTTGCTTAAATTCAGGAGCAGATATTTCTAATCCCTTTTATGTCTGGGGTCTTCAAAAAATGAGCATAACTGTCCTTGCTAGATTATTCTGTGTGGAATTGCATATTACCTCTCATATGTCTTTGAAGATGGCTTGGACAGTGATAATTGTGGCTGGGTGCACACATGGCTGTAAAGGTAAGTAATCTGTTCTGCAGAGTATGCTCCAAGAACCTCTTCAATGATCTGCTGGGTATTTGTTAAGTAAATTGTAATGCAAAAACACAACCTCTGGGCTGAGCCTGTGGCGCACTCGGGAGAGTGTGGCGCTGTGAGCGCAGTAGCGCTCCCGCCGCGGGTTCGGGTCCTATATAGGGATGGCCGCTGCACTCACTGGCTGAGCGCGGTGCGGCCGGTCTAAAAAAAAAAAAAAAAAAAAAACCCCACAATCTCTAAGACTAAGACTAACATAGAAGTTGTTGCACTGTGGAAGATGCAATGCTTATTTTGTTTTTGAGCTTTTTGGTTTAATTTGAAATCATCTTTAAAAAACAACAACAACAAAGCATTGTGCTATATAGCAACTACATTAAGGATTACTCTAATGTGGGAATTTTTCAAATTATGTTCAGAGATTCTTTAGAGATGCTTGTGAGGTTTGACAGGCACGATAATATGAATTTTATTTTAAAATATTTTTACCTATTTAAAAACTGTAATAAAAAACACTGGCACTCAAATATGTTCCATGCCAAATTGGGAGATACCTACTCTAGCTAGTGTTACTAGGTAAACTTTTATGTAGAACTGGGAATGAAGTTTCTTTTTCTGTCTCTGTTTTATTAGAGAATGTCCTGAGATTACAAGACAGGTTGTTTATCGAAATTTAAACTCAAAATGAGTGAATTAGGATTTTCTTAAAACCATGCAATGAAAATAAAATCAGATGCTGAGGTTGACATATGGTGGTAATTGTCATCTAAACTCCCTAATTTCAAGTGTATGTTCCTTAAACCAGCCTCATTGATCTCTGTTTGATGTTATAAGTAATTGTTATAAAAAAGAGCTGATAAAATAAATTTATATTTCTAAAATGCCCTTTTATCTGTTTTACATATTGAAGCTCCATGCAAGATATTATTTAAAAAAAGAAAAAAGAGTTGCCTGCTAAAAAAATTAGAAAATGGAGTTCTAGTTAAGCAAGTCCTTAACTAGAAACAACACATCAAATTCTGTTAGTGTCCCAAGGAAATAACTTCCTGGTTTAGTCATAATATTTGACAGCTGTGTTTGTCTCTGCAGAGTTCAGCACATCGTGGGGAATCTTTTTATGCAGCTCGTTTTGGGTATTCCTTTGGAAATGGTCCACAAAGGCCTCCGAGTGGGGCTGGTATACCTGGCAGGAGTGATTGCAGGTCAGTGTTCTGAGGGTAATACACAGTCATACCTCTGGGCTCTTAGGATTAAAAGAAAATAAAACAAACATTTAGAATGGGCTTCTTATTTAAGCCAAAATTTATTGCACTCCTAATATGTGCTAGGGAACATGCTAAGCATTAGAGGTAATTTAATTAGAGATAAGATATTAGAAATAACATAAGCACAGAGACAAGTCACTGTGCCTGTGCTCAGGTATCTCACGCTCAGACAGGGTTTTGCACAACTGGAAACTGCAATTTGGTGTTCAGGTGCATCTATTTGGTAGAAGCTGAAAGCAAGATCATGAAGGCCCTTATGAGTCACACTAATGGTTTGGAGAAGTAACATGATCAGATTTGCATTTAAGGAAGAAAATTTTAAGAGAATGTAGAAAATAAACAAAGGCGCCCAAAGTCTGACTAGGGACTAGCAGCATATGGCTGTGATTTCTAAAATTGAGTGTGCCTAGGACGATCCTTTATGGGGTGGGAAGAAAATATTAGAATTCTCATCCATTCATTTATTTATTTACTGGAAATATTTTTTAAAAAATTAAATTTTTTATTTTGAGGTAATTACAGATTTACCTGCAGTTGTAAGAAATAATACTTAGAAATCCCATGTACCCTTCAACCGTTTACCCCCAATGGTAACATTTGCAAAACTTTAATACAGTATCACAATCAATATGTCCACATTGATACAGTCAAAGTATCAACACCACAAGGATCCTTCATGTTGCCTGTTTATAGCTATATTCTTTTCCCTCTCACCCTCCCTTACCCCTGGCAACCACTAATCTCTTCTTCATTTCTATAATTTTGTCACTTTGAGAATGTCATATAAATGGAATAATCCAGTATATATCCTCTTGGAATTGGCTTTCTTCACTCAGTGTAATTGTCCAGAGATTCATCTAGGTTGTTGTGTGTATCAGTGTTCATTCCTTTTTATTGCTGAGTAGTAGTAGTCCATGGTGTGAATGTGTGACCGCTTATTCAATTATTTACTCATTGAAGGACATCTAGGTTGTTTTCAGCTTCGGGTATTAGGAATAATGCTGCTGTAAACATTTGTGTATATATTTTTATGAACATAGGTACAGGATTTTGTGAAGCCAAGTTTTCAATTCTCTAGGACAGATGCCCAGGAGTACAGTTGCTGGGTCATATGATAGTGGCATATTTCATTTTTAAAGAAAATTCCAGAATGTTTTGTAGAACATCTGTTCCAATTTACGTTCCTCACAGCAATGTATAAGTGATTCAGTTTCTTTACATCTTCACCAGCATTTACTGTTTCACTATTTTTTATTTTACCTCTGTTTATAAGTAAGTAGTCATATTTCATCATGGTCTTAATTTGCAATTCCCTAATGGCTAATGACGTTGAACCTCTTTTTATGTGCTTATTTGCCACTTGCCTATCCTTTTCAGTGAAATGCCTGCCCATGATTTTTGCCTATTTTTAATTGGATGGGTTTTTCTTTTTTTCTTTCTTTTATTTTTTGGCAGCTGGCCCATACAGGGCTCAAACCCTGGACCTTAGTGTTATCAGTACCAGGCTCTAACCAGCTGAGCTAACCAGCCAGCCCTTTTTCATTGTTGAATTTTGAGAGTTCTTTATATATATTCTAGGTACTAGTCCTTCATTGATGATGTAGCTTACAAGTATTTTGTCCTAGTCTGAAGCTTGTCTTTTCATCCTCTAAACAGGGTTTTCCACAGAGTACAAGTTTTTAATTTTAATAAAGTCTAATTTCCATATTTTGCTTTTGGAACTATGTCTAAAAACTCTTCACTAAGCCCTAAGTCCTGAAGATATTCTCCTATGCTCTCTCCTAAAGGTTAAAGTTTTATGCTTTACATTTAAATATGTGATCCGTTTTGAGTATTTTTGTATAAGGTGTGAGGTTCAGATTGAGATTCTTTTTATTTCTTTGTTTATTTTGCCTATGGATATCTAGTTATGCCAGAACAATTTGTTGAAAAGACTATTCTTCATTGAATTGCTTTTGCACCTTCGTCAAAAATCAGTTGCCTATAGTTGTGTGATGCTATTCTGGATTATTTTTATTCTATTACTCTATGTGTCTATTCTTTCACCAATACCACATAGTCTTGATTATTGTAGCTACATAATAAGTCTTGGAATCAGTTAGAATGATTCCTCCCACTTTATTCTTCAGTTTCAAAATTGTTTTAGCTGTTCTAATTCCTCTGCCTTTCCATATAAATTTTACAGCAATCCTGTCTATATCTATAGAAATTCTTGCTGGGATTTTAGCTGGAGTTGCATTAAACCTGTACATCAGTCTTTCAGTCCATGAATACAACATGTCTTTTATTTAGATCTCCTAAATGGTATTTTATATATATACATATATTTGGTGGCTGGCTGGTACAGGCTATTATATTTTTAATTTCAGTGTTCATTGTTGGTATATAGAAATGCAATCGATTTTTGTAAGTTGATCTTGTATCTTGCAACCTTGCTGAACTCATTAGTTCTAGGTTTTTGTTTGTTTGTTAGATTCCTCCAGATTTTCCATGTCATCTGCAAATCATCATGTCATCTACAAATAGGGACAGTTTTATTTCTTCCTTTACAATTGGTATGCCTTTTGTTTCCTTTTCTTGCTTTATTGTGCTGGCTAGCACACCCAACGCTATGTTCTATACAGTTGGGAGAAAAGATATCCTTGCCTTGTTCCTGATCTTAGGCAGGAAGTAATTAGTCTTTCACCACTAAGTATAATGTTAGCTGTAGGTTTTTTGTAGGTCCAAAAATTTTTACCAATTCATTTATTACTGAAAAATGAACAAGAAATCAAGCATAACTAATATGTAATTTGTAGATTGACATAGCTCCTCTTTGATCTTTATGTGTCACATAAGTATGTGCAGTTTCCTGGGCGGAGGGTGGGAAATCCACAACAGATAGGAACTGAAAGCTCTCATTGCCCTTTTCCCTTCTGTGTACAGGATTTATTGCGGTCTGTGTGTGCCTGGTTAAATAAACAGAGTAATCTTTACAAGGAGTAAAAGATGTCCTGAGTTAGGGAGTTATCAAAAAAAATTTTTTTTTATCTCCCAGATTTGCAGATTATTTCATGATAAATTACTTCGAAGAGTTGTTGATTTACATTAGTTTATGCATTCTTCTTTTACAAAAAGATGGGTGTCTAATTTGCTGCCTTTTTTTGTGTGCGATGAAAGGTTTTGGGTAGTATGCTACCTAACAGATGTTACTGAAAAAACGAACACAAGATATGTCCCTTTGAGGACATGATAGCATTTTTCTCTTGAGGAGTGAGAAAATAACTGCTTTTCCAAAAATATGCATGCTATGAAAAAGGCAGTTTGAAAACTGGTAATTAGAAATTTTTTTATCATTATTGGATTTTGCTGTTGAAAGTGATGCAACATTTTATGTGTTCACACTGAAAAAGCTGGGACACAACTTCTTAATCTGTTTTAAAATTTTTCAGTGAAGAGTTTTGGTGGGGTTTAAACTTTATTATAGCACTATCTGATTAGCTTGCAAGAACAAATGACTAACATTGGGGAAGGTGGGAATTGATAGCCAAATTATAACAAAAATTCCACATGATTGGAGTAAGCAATTCTTCCACTTGAAACCACGCATCATTTTTACATTTTATATTTTGGCTATGACAGCCATTTCTATAGAAAATAACTGAATTTAGGATTTCATCTATGCACTTCTGTTTCATGACATTTAAACAGGATTTTCACAAATAATGAATCTTATTTTATGATACTGCTCACTGAAAGATTTTGTTAATACCATTAATGAAGTAAAAATAATTTAAAAATATTGTTTAATCAATATGTCTCATCCTTTTAAAATTCTATTTTTGTGTTTTAAAGAATATATCAGTGTAGTAGTACATATATATGTAATTTATAAATAAGTAAATACACCTATATTGCAGTGGGTGGTTTTATTAGTTTCTTAGGGCTGCCATAACAAAGTGCCACAAACTGTGTTGCTTAAAACAACAGAAATGTATTGTGTCAGTTCTGGAGGCTATAATGCTGAAATCGAGGTGTCGGCAGGGCCATGCTCCCTCTGAAACCTGTAGGAGAGAATCCTTCCTTGCCTCTTCCTGGCTTCTGGTGGTGGCTGTCAATCCTAGGTGTTCCCTGGTTTGCAGCCACAGCACTTGGATCTCTGCATCCATCGTCATGTGGTGTTCTCCCCTGTGTTTCTCTGTCTCCTCTTATAAGGACACCAGTCACATTGGTTTAGGGACCCACTGTACTCCAATATGACCTCACCTTAACTAATAGCACCTGCAACAACCCTATGTGCAAATACGGTACTGGGGATTAGGACTTCAACATATCTTTTGGAGGACACAATTCAACCCATTACAGTGCTGACAATTTTTTTACTGATCAGAAGTTTGGCAGCTCCTGGAGCCGAGGATTGCAATGAGGGCCTGCGATCTTGCAGGGACCAGTGGCAGTGCAGATGGAGAGCAGGAAGCAGTCAAAAGATGTGTTAAAGAGATAGATTTGGTAACTTCCCTCCTCCTGTTTTGGATCCTGTTTCTCCACCTTCTCCTTCTGTTTCTGCACACACCCATCTTTTCCTGCCCTTGTAATCCTTTTGCAATGATCAGGCCTTGCCTGGCTCCAGCATCTACACCCCTGTTTCCCCCAGGGCTTAATTTCAACCTGTGGACTCAGCCCTGCCCTAGTTTCAGAGCAGAGCGAAGGGAGAATGTGAGTAACCCGTTCACATCCTCTGCCTATTTCTGCAATACCTTCTTGGTAGGTATCTCTGTGCCATTCTGGTCTATCCTTTACACTGCTGCCTGGGTCACCTTCCTCAAACACAGATGTTATATTATACCCTTCTTAAAAAACTTACAGTGGCCAAAAGATAGTTGAAACACCCAAGAACGCTCTTCATTACCTTCTACTACCTGGCCTCACTGCCTTTCTTGCTTTGCTTTTTTTTCTAG